CATCAAGTTCCTTCAATATATTTTATATTGAATCTATCCTTCTATTTTCTTGACATGATATCAGTGCAATTGCTTCCTTCGGTTGCATAATCTCTTCTCAATTGGATCGTCCTTTTTTCTCTCATTTTCTCACTCGTTCCACAAAAAAAAAAAAAACCCAAATTATATCAAAATTCTTAGTTTCTCCCACTTTCTCTTCTGGATCTCTATAAACCCAGGCTTCAGTGTCTGTCATTTTCTTTATCAAATCGTAGAGAGAATAAGTAGAGAATTGCAATGGATGAGCAAGAGACGTTTGCTTTCCAGGCTGAGATTAACCAATTGCTGAGTCTGATCATCAATACCCTCTATAGCAACAAAGAGATCTTTCTCCGCGACCTTATCAATAACTCTTCTAATGCTCTTTACAAAATACGTTTGACTGACAAGAGTAAGCTTGAGACTCAACCAGAGCTTTTCTTTCACATTATCCCTGACAAGACCAATAACACACTGTCCATCATTGATAGTGGTATTGGAATGACCAAGGCTGATTTGGTGAACAATCTTGGTACCATTGCAAGGTCTGTAACCAAGGAATTTATAGAAGCCCTTGCTGCTGGCGCTGATGTCAGTATGATTGGGCAGTTTGGTGTCGATTTCTAATCAGCATACCTGGTTGCTGAGAAGGTTGTGGTCACCACAAAGCACAATGATGATGAGCAGTATGTGTGGGAGTCCCAAGTGGGCGGTTCTCTTTGTTCCTAAGAGAGCACCATTTGATCTCTTTGACACCAAGAAGAAGCCCAACAACATTAAGCTTTATGTTCACGTTAATTACAGGTTTATTACGTAAAAAAAAAAAAAATTCAGAGAGCGTAGAGGGATTCATTTCCTTGCTGGAGTTTGTTTAGCATTTCCAGTTTTCCTTTTTGTTGATGATGATTGTCTTCAGCAAATGCCCGGTTTTAGAGCCATGGATGCTCACCTGTTCCAGTTGAATTATGTTGCTATTTTTTTCCTCTGATATTCTGCTCAGAGTTTGATATTCTGTTTTCACTTACTCCCAATTATGTTTTAAGAAGTCTAATAGCTCAGTGGTGTATGAAACACAACTTGGAAAAGCCAACAACATTAGTGAGTGGAAGGATTAAAAGAAGTACAGATAATGGACTCCTGCTTGCAGAAGTTGGAGCTATTCCCATTCTGGTTAAACTCTTGAGTCTGCGGATGGTCAAATCCAAAACAATGCTGTCACGTGTGTTCTTAACCTTTCCATTTATGATAATAACAAAGGACCACCATTTTTTTCAGCGGCTCGCCTCAGCTAGGCTCTGACAAATTCTACCTGTTCCTGTACTTTAGAGGTAGCATTTGACGAGTTCCTCAATTCAGAATTTATCCAACAGCTTCTCTTGCATATCTGCTTTTCTCTCTACAATTCAAGATGTTCCATTTTGAGGGGGGAGCGTTGGAATATTCAAATATTAAATCATTGTTGTACATTCTTCTCCTATTTGTTATTAGATGCTTACTCTAGATCTTTCTTCTATTTGTTATGTAGTTAGTTTGTTAGAGATTTTACTCTATAAATAGAGTAATGTATTTCCATTATCACTTGAACTTTTGATGAATAATAAGTGTTCTNATTAGTCTATAAATAGATCAATGTACTCAAAGTATTACTTGAGCTTTTGATGAATAATAAGTGTGCTACATGTTTTCCTTCATCAAGTTCCTTCAATATGTTTTATATTGAATCTATCCTTCTATTTTCTTTACAAGGGATAGATACCTTCTGTGTGTAGTACGCATCGTGTCAATACGTAATCCTGATTAGAGAGTGAAAATACAAATTTATTCACATGGAGATGTAATAAAGTGGATGACATGCGTTTTTTTTGTCAAAAAAAAAAAAAGAATGGAGCCCAAAATTCACCATAAACCTGGCTAGGCAATTCACTAACCACCTTGTGGGGGTGAAAAACTACGGAAAACCAAGTGCATTGGGAAACTTGTTTGAACCCAAAAATTAGTGTCCTAATTCTTCCAACAGTAACCCAGAGATCCTACTCCTAGCTCCTCAATCAAAATCATAACCAGAATTTCGAAAATGAATTCCACAAGTAGGAAATTTTCAAATTTTCATGGAAATCTTACCTTTGATGTTATGGTTTGAATTTGATGTTCAATTGGTGAGTTTGCTCCTCAATTATGATCAAATGTGTTTGAAGAGCCAAGATCAAGGGTTTGGAGAAAATGGTGTTTGCTTGAGAGAGAATTTCATTTTTTTAGGGAATATGCATATAGATTGAGAGGGGTACTTCTCAAAATGGCCATGTCAATATGGCTATTTTCTACTTTGACCAATTTTTTTAACCATTTGGTCTTATAAGTTTTAATGTGTAAAAGATAAAATTACATTTATGCATCTTATATAACTGCAATAAAAAGACCATAATACCATTTTTAAGTTAAAATAATTTTAAATATTTCTCATTTAAAATTTCAAAATCAAATCAATTTCTTTATCTGTTTACTCTAACACGGATTAAAATTGTTTCATTTTTCATCTACTTCAAACTTGAAATCTTATAAATTTATCAAACGCTCAACAAGAAAATATTGTTTATAGCCATCACTTGGAATCGGTAAGTATATTTACGTTTTTTTAAATTTCGCTTTCGTTAAATTAGTACATTATTGTAATTTTTAAACCTTATTTCGACATAGGCAAAAAAAAAATTTACGATCTTAAATGGATCTATAATTTTTTTTAACAAAAACGAGAAAAAAAATCATTAGCATTGTATATATTATTTCTGACAATTTTACAGTTGTTTGTAAAATCACCAACCCAGGCAGATGGGAATGAAGAACAACCCACAATGAAAACGGCTGACTGGAAATAGTTGGCTCAACCGACTAGGCTAGCTTAGTGATGTCAAAAATACTCGACGGCTCGGGTGGCCTGGGATCAGCCCAAGAAAAGCTCGAGTCGGGCCGGCTCGTGGCTCGGTGGCATAAAGCCAAGGCTCAAGCCAAGCCCCATTTTCGGGGGTCGACTCGAGCCCGAGCATCGGCACATGTCACGGGCTGAGCCGAGCTTTTTTTTTTTTTTAGTTTAGATGTATTTTTTCATATAATAATATTTAGTTATTATTTNNNNATTTAGTTATTATTTATAATACGTAAAAATTGCACAAATTTTAAATACATTATAAAAAATTATAGATTTATAACAAATAAAAAAAAAACGAGCAGGTTCAACTCGCTAAGGCTCGAGCCGAGCCTCATTTTTTTGGCTGAGCGATCGGGCCTAAAAAATTTAGGACCTATTTTGCTCAAGTCGAGCCCAACCTTTAAGTTTTGGCTCGTGACTCGGCTCGTTGACATGGATAGGCTGGCTGTTTCCAGACGTCCCAGCCTGTTTCCAATCGGCCCAGCCAGCTTTTTTACTCATTTTTTCCCACTAATTATAATTTTTTTAACAAATTATGTTTCTTAATGTAGATATGAGATCGGCTATAGTCCTGGTTTGTTTTTCTGGTGAATTTGAAATGAATACAAATGGTGGATGGGTTTGGAAACGGACAAGTAAAAGACATGGTGGTATTGCAATTGTGATGACATCGAGTACATCATATGCAAATGTATCATGATATACAAAACAAGCTCAACGTCGATCCTTCTTAATACGACATAGAATTGGGATTTCTATTCAACGAGCATACATTCATATCAATTCCACATGTAAAGGTTACTTTTGAAGACGAAATCCAGGTTTTAATTGAATTGAATCAAAATTGTATGACTACTCCTATTTACGTAACTTTAGCGAAAAAAAATGTTCCCGAGAGTGAACACGAAGATCCTGATGGAGGGGATCGTAATGTGAATGATTTTTAGGATACAGTGGAAACAACTCGTGGGGGATGATGTGGTTATTCTCAATATAGTTGTTCCTCACCATGATTTTACTGTTACGCATGAAATTCACTCGATAGTTCAAGACATTGAGAATGAAAATGAATTTACAAATGAGGATTTGATTGTTTTATCCAATCGCAGTCATGAGTCGGGTGGGAGCTCACAGGCTGAAACGAGTACACGAACCTCTAATTATTCGCGTGTAGTTCCTGATGACAAAGATTTATATGTCGAGCAACTGTTTGAAACAAAGAAATATTTGCAGGAAGCTGTGCACCATATTTCTTTGAAATACAACTTTAAGTTTATAGTGAAGAAATCAAACAAGTCGACTTGCACAATTAAATGCATTGACAATAGCTGCCATTAGCGTTTGCGAGTGATGAAAATGGACACCAATAAGTTCTTTGTAATTCGTAAGTATGGACTTAAACATACTTGCGAAGTGGGTATTCGTCGAAATGATCATGGGCAAACCCAAAATGATCGTTGGTCGACAAATAATGTACAAGTTTCAAGACCCACGAATAATCTACAGACCTGCAGACATCATTAACGACGTCTGTTGAGAGTACATGGTGATCATAAGTTATCAGAAGGCTTGGAAGACCAAAGAATGCGCATTGAAGGACTTAATGGTTTCGGCTAAGGAGAGTTATATTGAATTGGCCAGATATTGCTATAACATAGGGAAAGCTAATTCTAGATCGCCATTTTTTATTGAGACGGAGGGCGAGAATCGATTCAAGTATTTCTTTATAACCATTAGACAATGCATTTGAGGATTTTGAACGTGATGTGACCCCTAATTCTAGTCAACGGTACAACCTTTAGGCTAGATACGTAGGCAAGTTGATTATTGCAAATGTTAAGATCCCAACATCCAAATTTATCCTCTTGCATTTGGCATAGTTGATTGAGAGAATGATCTAACAATGCGTTTGTTCTTTATGAAGCTGAGGGAAGTAACTGGGGATGTCAAGAACCTTGCATTCGTAACTGACCCGGGGCAGTCAATAATAAATGGTATTGTCGAAGAGCTGTGAGGCTTATAGTTTTGAAGAGTTTGATAAGTTTATGGTCGAAATAAAAAGTAAATCATATGCTACATGGGATTATCTAACAAAAATTAGGATCGAACATTGGGCACGATCACATTTTTAAGGACATCAATACAACACTATAACGTCAAACAATACGAAATCGCTCAATGCATTATTCAAGAAGGATCAAGAGTTACCAATTCTCGCAATGATTGAACAAGCTACAGTAGTGGTTTCATGATCAACGTAAGGAATCACAGAATTGCACAAGTATGCTAACTCTGGGTTAGAAAAATAAACTCTTCAAGACTCTGGATCAGTTTCGCTTCTCCATGAGATATGAACGTAATATCGGATTCATTGTGGACTTGAATATCACTTATACACGTGTAGAAAGTTTCAGTTGGAGAGTTTTCCACATACACATGCAGTGGCTATGCATATAGGATTTCTACCATACACCTTATGTAGTTTTTATTACATGACTGATTATTTGAGAGCAGCGTATGTCGAAACAATATTTCCTCTACCAACTGAAGTGGAGTAGAAAGCTCCCGACCATGATCTCCTACTTAAAATTTGTTGCCACCCGAAGTTGGACCATGTACTTCGGATCTAGACGTGCATCTAGAATACCATCCACCGGAAAATTTTCCCAATTTCGTAAGTACGCAACAGGACATACTCTCCGAT